GGGGGGGGGGGGCTCCGCCCCGCCCGGCATCGTCACGCGCACTTGCGCGGAGCAAGTCGGCGGCCGGGTGGCCCTCTCCCCTCACCTCTTCCCCCTGCCCTCCCCCGCCCCCCGCCCGGAGGGCTCCAAGAAGTTTGTGAGGGCGACGCTGCGGCGCCGCGGGGCTGAAGGAAGGAGGTCGGCCAGGCCTCGGCACTTACTTGGTACTCGATCTCCAGCGAGGCCTTCAGCGGCATGGGCTGGTAGAAACACTCCTTGTGTCCGGCCGGAAGGGTAAAGGTGAAGTCGCTGTCCAAGGAGGGCGTGAAGCCGGCCGCCCCCGGTGGCAGCACTGTGGGCAGCGCGGCCAGGAGGAACACGGGGAAGGGCAGCCGGTTCTTGTCGCCCATCCCTGCTGGGGCGATATCAGGCTGAGAGCGCTGAGGAAGGTGTGGGGTGTGGGCGCCCGCGGCTCCGCGGCTCCTGGCTGGGTTCCTCGTGGCAGGGATACCCAGAATCTGAAGAAAGTTCGGCTGGCCGCAGCGGCGACAAACGAATCCTGCCAAGGGGGAAGCGCTGACCTCCGAAGCGTAGGGACTGAGGGCGGGGCCAGCGGCCCCTTTCCGCCCCCTTCCTCGGAACCATCCCCCGGGCCTCACACCCAGACGGTTGCAGGTTCCCATGGCTTCCCTCCGCCCTCAGGACACACCCCGATAGGCACCGTCGCTGGAATTGTGGGAAATGTAGTCCCGGGCGAGCAGAGCGTGAGCGCCCAGCTACGCTTTCAACTACGATTCCCGGCAAACCATGCGCTTCGCGTCATGCACGGGGCGCCACCGCGGAGGCGGGGCTGCGACGGAGGAGGCGCGTCCCAACGGCTCCCGCGGCGGTTCGAACTCGGGGTTGCTGGGGTTCGCTCGTTCCTTGCCTCGTGTGTCTGAGGCTTCCACGCCGAGGCCTGGGAGAGGGTCCGAGGCTTCCGAGCGCAGACGAGGCGCGTTTGGGCAGGGTCGTCTCTGGCGGGTGGGGGAGGGTGGTCTCTCCATCTGGGACTTGGGTGGTGAGAGGATAACCCGTGGACGAGCGGAAATCGGCCTGCTTGGGGGGCGGGTACCCGAGGGGCGGCGGTCCGCCCGGGCCTGGCTCCTATAGACGCTGCTGTGCCGATTGTATGTTAGTGGCAAGGATGATGTCAAGTTTTGCTCGGCGCTTTCCACGTGGAAGTGGGATTAAACTGAGTCCAACGGGAGAATGCTGTGGGAAACTATGACCTCTTTCCTGAATGGAAGTGTTTTTCTTTTCCCGACCACATCCATCTTGTTACACATAGGGGGTGTAAAGGCTTGTCTTCTGTGGGATGGTTGTACGCTTACGCCCTTAGATACGCAATCTTAGTTAGAGATAAAAGGTGACTTTGTAGGTAGAATGGTGTGCCTTTCCGGGTTCTGACAGGCAACACTGACAGTTTCTTGCCCTCCCCTTTTCTCCCCTCCCCTCTCAAGTTCAAGTGGCTCAAGTAGCAGGTGCTTTGCTACTTGAACCACTATCCTCCTCCAGTCTCCATTATTAGGATAGGAGCTTAGGTATTTTGTTCAATCTCATATTGACTTCCATACCTTAATGGCTGGGATAGCACATTAGAGCTCTCGTGTTCAGCCTTTGAGGGTTTTGTTAAGTTTTTGTTGGGGCTGAAGACGAACCTGTGTCTACTCTCAAATGGCTATTAGAACAGGGGTGCAGCTCAACACTTGGCCTATGAAGATAGGTGTTTTTGTTTCTGTGTTTGTTTTGCTCGGTCATGGGGCTTCAGCTTTGGGCCTGGGTGCTTTTCCTGAGCTCTTCAGCTTAAGGCTAGCTTGAGCCACAGCACCACTTCCGGTTTTCTGGTGGTTTATTGGAGATGAGAGTCTCAAGGCCTTTCCTGCTCGGGCTGGCTTTGAACCGAGATCCTCAGATCTCAGCCTCCCTGAGTAGCTAGGATTACAGGTGTGAGTCACTAGCACCCGCCTTTTTTTTTTTTTAACTATTGCAAATTGAAGTGAGAGGCAGTCGTTTTTGTAATTTTGTTGATTGTTTAGTTTTCTTTTTTCTTTTTTTAGACTAGAGTATCACTGGTTAGTCTAGGCTAGTCTTGAACGTGCTAGGTAGTCCAGCCTGGACTCAAAACAATGATTTCTCCTACTTCAGTCTCCCTAGTATTGAGATATTAGCTTGCATCAGACCAGGCTATTTGAAAGCAAAAGCCCCTCTAAGAAATTGAAAATGTTTGTAGATGAAATGTATTCGTGGGCTGGGAAGGTGGCTCAGTGGTAGAGTGCTTGCCTTGCATGCATGAGGCCCTGGGTTCAATTCCTCAGCACCACATATGCAAAAAGAAAAAAAAGGCCGGAAGTGGCGCTATGCTTCAAGTGGTAGAGCGCTAGCCTTGAGTTGAAGATCCGAGGGACAGTGCCCAGGCCCAGAGTTCAGGCCCCACGACTGGACCCCCCGCTCCCCCCAAAAAAGAAATGTATTCGTTTGTACTTCACAAGAAAACATTTATATGAAAATACACAGAAGTTGAATGTATAGCCTTATGAAACAGCACTTCTTAATTTGTCCAAATTTTCTTTTGCTTTTTCAACTCTTTCATCCTGTAGGGATTTAATGATATTGTTGAATAGATAAAGCAGGATGGGAACCTGAACCATTCACTTTGATCTAGGGAAGTCTTCTCACTTGAACAGATGCAACTTTGTGGAAACAGGAAGAAGATATAAACTGTTTTTCTACTGAAATCATAACATCTCACTTAATTTCCTACCACATTTTTGGGGTAAGATAACGAGTTTGTTTTTTCAACCTTCCATCCTACATTTGAGAAATTTTGAGTGGGGAATAAATGTACATACTATTTTAGTGGGATGAAGGCAGTTAGCTGGAAATGTAGCTTAGTTTTGGCATTTATTCATCTAAAATACTGAGCTTTTCTAAATCTACTGCAGTCCTGAACATAATACCTTGGACTTCTAAGTTTATGGAGCTTGTTATTTAGTTAGAACTTTAAGGGGGATGAAAGGGGCTACCCTGGAAAGGTAAATGGGACCTGAAAGAGGAATGAAATTGTAATATTTGCGGGAAGATCTGGAGAATGAGTAGATACTAATACTTTTTTACTTTGATAATTGCAATAATAAAGTGCTGGTTATTATTGTGATTTTTGTGTGCATGTGCAGTGAGGAGTCTTCACAAGCCTAGAGAGGCTCATCAGTGGAAGAAACAAACGCTTGTCTTCATATAGTTCTGTCAAAATTGTTTTGATCCATGATTATCACTTACATGTTTTTTTAAAATGTATAACCATTGTGAATGGGAGGAGATAACTTATATGGTCACAAAATGCCTTCTAAGAAAATATGGAAGACTGTAATAACATCAGATACCCAGAACTGCAAACAAGTATAAAAATCCAGGCATCTCTTATTGAAGTAGATAAACTAATGATAAATTACTAAAGTACAGCTAAATAATTAAAACATCATTTAATCCAGATGACCTACATTCAAATCTTGGTTTGAGTCTGGCAATGTGGCTTAGTGGTAGAGTGCTTGCCTAGCATGCATGAAGCCCTGTGTTCTATTTCCTCAGTACCACATAAACAGAAAAAGCTGAAAGTAGCACTGTGGCTCAAGTGATAGAGTGTTAGCCTTGAGCACAGAGATTCTCAGGGATAGTGCCCAGGCCCTGAGTTCAAGCCCTAGGACTGGCAAAAATAAATAAATAAATGTTGGTTTGATCATTTAGTGGTCTTGAACAAATTAATTTGGTTTACTCATAGTCTTAATTTTTGACATTGAGTAAAAATGCTTTGTTTTCATACTTGTTAGGAAGATTGCATATGCTTAGAAAAGAGGAAACTATAATGACTGGACCCTAAAATGTAAATTTGTCCCATTGAAATTGCACTGAACAGAAGTGGTGCTGTGGCTCCAGTGGTAGAGCGCTAGTCTTGAGCTGAAGAGCATAGAAAGTGCCCAGGCCCAGAGTTCAAGCCCCACGATCGCCAAAAAAAAAAAGGAAATTGCACTGAACTTTCCATTGTGACTTTACACTGTAGAGGAATTCATTGTTATTGTTTTAAATTTCCATGAATGATTTCACAACGTTTGATATAAGACATGTGTATTAATGTGTTTCATTCTGTTACTGTGGAATATTTTGACTGTTTCTTTTTTTTTTTTTTTTGGTTTTTTTCGGGGAGTCCGGTCGTGGGGCCTGTTTCTACAATGAGTCAAGGTACAAGATCTTCTCTCTTTTTTTTCAAAAAAGAAATGGAATCTAGTTCATCAGATTACTGTAATAAAGACAATGAAGAAGAAAGTTTGCTTGCAAATGTTGCTTCATTAAGACATGAACTAAAGAGAACAGAATGGAACTTGCACAATTTGGGGGAAGAGTTATCCAGGTAAGTAAAATTACATTTTGAATTCAGAGTATTTAATTTATACAATGCTTAGATTTCATTGTCATACGTTATATTTAAATATGTCCCTGGAATAAGATATAATATTTTTCTCATCCATAACTTTATTAAGTATATATGGTATGTACAATCCTGTGTTAAAGATTAAGAGAATACATGGAAATGGGGCTGTGGCTCAAGTGATAGAGTGCTAGCTTTGAGCACAGAGAGGCTCAGGGATAGCATCCAGGCCCTGAGTTCAAGCCCCACTACTGACACACACATACAAAAAAAAAAAAATAAGATTAAGAGAATATAAAGATAAATTGTTGAAATGGTACTGTTTCTCACAGACTTTTACAAACTCATGATAATGAAAAGAAAGGAATTACAAGTAATTTTCTGGTTGAGAAAAAAAATGTAAGAGCTAAGTCATTAATTAATTAATTTTTGCCAGTCCTGGGGCTTGAACTTAGGGCCTGGGCACTGTCCCTGAGGTTTTTTTGATTAAGGCTAGCCATGCTACTACTTAAGCCACAGCTTCACTGTCAGCCTTTTTGGTACTTTAGTGTAGCTAAGAATATTGCAGATATAGCTGCTAGCTTGGAACCATTATCCTTAGATCTCAGCCTCCTATGTAGCTAAGATTATAGGCATAAGCCAATAGGCTGAGGCTTTTTTTTTTGCTTGTCCTGGGCTTTGAACTCTGGGCCTGAGCACTGTCCTTTTGCTCAAGACTAGAATTCTACCACTTGATCCACAATACCACTTCTGGCTTTTTCTATGATTAATTGAAGATAAGAGTCTCATGGACTTTCCTGCTGGGGCTGGCTTTGAAGTTAGATCCTCAGATCTCAGTATACTGAGTAGCTAGGATTACAGGCATGTGCCACCAGCACCTAGCACTTTTTTTTTTTAAGTAAACTTAAATTGACAGTTGGAAACACTGCTTATATATATATATATATATATATACATACATATATATATATATAATATGTCTGTATATAATATGTATATGTATACATGTGTATAAAGTATGTATACATATACATATTATGTAACGTATATATAAATACATTATACTTGAAAACACACACGGACCTCTAATAGCTAATCCATTTTTGAGGGGTGGGGTTGAATTCAGGGTCTTAAGTTGCTAGGCAAGTCCTTTACTACTTAAGGCACTCTTAGTCCTTTTTTCTTTTTTTTTTAAGGTACAAGACTGGGATTTGAACTTGGTGCCTGATGCTCTCACTCATTGGCTAGTGCTCTACCAACTGAGCCATGCCTCCCACACCAAGAATTGGTTATTTCACCCTTTCCTTCCCTCCTTCCTTCCTTCCTTCCTTCATTTTCTTTTCTTTTCTTTTTGTCAGTCATGGGACTTAAACTCTGAGCTTTTTAGCTCAAGGCAAGTGCTCTATCACAGTGCCACTTCTGGTTTTCTGGTAGTTAATTGTAAATAAGAGTCTTGTGGACTTTCCTGCTTGGGCTGGCTTTTGAACTGCAATCCTCAGATCTCAGCCTTCTGAGTAGCTAGGATTACAGGCCTGAGCCTCCAGTACCTGGCCTGTCTTTCTTTTTCTCTCTTTCTCTCTTTCTTTCCTTCTTTCTTTTTTTCCTTCCTTCCTTCCTTCCTTCTTATATTTCCTTTTTTCTTTAGTGTTTTTCAAATAAGGGCTTAGGTTTATTCCCAGACTAGCTTGGACCATTATCTTCCTATTTACATTGCTCCTGTAGCTGAGCAGGCAGGTGCATACCACCATATCCAGCTTTTTATAGGATAAGATGCCATCCCTCTTTCTACTTGAGCTGACCTAGAACCAAGTCTTCCCACTCTCAAATTTCCCAGTGTCTGGCAGTTAACCATACCTGCAGTTAGTTTTTTTTGAAGATGATAATTCATGAAAGCCAGTGTCCTAACCTATAATGTAAGATAAAATTTTCTAAACATTTTAATATAATTCTCAGGTTAGCAGAAAAAAGGGGTATTAGATAATATGTACATATTAAGAAAAGACCTTTAATGTTTTAGGAACCAGGATAAATTATATATTTGGGGCTTTATTAATCTTTTGTTATTGTAACTGGTATTTGAATCCTAACATGATTCTAGCATACAGGCTTAGGAAACAGATACCTTGTTTCAAACTAGTTTGAAACTAGTGGCTTATTGAAAAATTAGTGGAAACATTGACTTATGTTCCTGACTATGTATCTAATTGTCAGAATAATTGCCAGTTATTTTCTATTTTTATTTAATATATAGCGATTTGTAGTAAATACTGTGTAAGAACTAAATTATATATTTCTTTTCTTTTTTTCTCTAGTGCTAGTCCAAGTGAAAATTCTGATTTTACCTCTAATCCCTCAAGATCAGAAAGGCTTATTTTGGAAGATCTTACTCAATCTTGCCACTCAGGAATTTTGAATTATTCACCTTTTAAGAAACTTTCTAAAGCATCTGATAGTACTGATTTTCAAAAAAAGTCACGAGATAAGGTTATTTTTTGACTTGTCTACTTAAAAGTAGCTTTACTTGTATTTAAAATAATTATTAAGGTATTTAAAACTATTTCAAATAGTTTTTCTTTGCTTTTTTCTCTAAATGCCTTTTATGTATTTTTAATACTCTTTACCATGATGTTCAAGAATTTAAACATAATTGTTCTTTTTTTTTTTTTTTGGTTGGTCGTGGGGCTTGAACTCTAGGCCTGGGCGCTGTCCCTCAGCTCTTTAGCTCAAGGCAAGCGCTCTACCACTTGAGCTACAGCACCACTTCCGGTTTTCTGGTGGTTTATTGGAGATAGGAGTCTCACGGTTTCTCCTGCCCGGGCTGGCTTTGAACAGCGATCCTCAGATCTCAGCCTCCTGAGTAGCTAGGATTACACAGGCATGAGCCACCAGCACCCGGCTAATTGTTCTTTTGTGTCCTAACAATAACATGTTATTTTTAAGCATGTAATTGTTATCTTTTCTTAAGCAAATTATCCCCTCAATTTGAACACTCTACTCTCTCTATATTTATATATCAAGTAACATATATTCATTGTTAAGCCTGGATCAAGTGTGATGTGATAGCACAACACTATTTCTTTTTTTTTGGGGGGGGAGGGGTCCGGTTGTGGGACGTGAACTCTGGGCCTGGGCTCTGTCCCTCAGCTCTTCAGCTCAAGGCTAGTGCTCTACCACTTGAGCCACAGTGCCACTTCTGGCTTTTTTCTTTTTGTTTATGTGGTGCTGAGGAATGGAACCCAGGGCCTCATGCATGCAAGGCAAGCGCTCTACCACTGAGCCACCTTCCCAGCCCCACACAACACTATTTCTTTTCTTTTTTTGGTCAGTTGTGGGGCCTGAACTCTGGGCCTGGGCGCTTTCCCTCAGATCTTCAGTTCAAGGCTAGCATTCTACCACTTGAGCCACAGCGCCACTTCCAGGTTTTTTCTGCTTATATGGTGCTGAGGAATGGAACCCAGGGCCTCATGCATGCAAGGCAAGCACTCTATCACTGAGCCACCTTCCCAGCCCCACAACACTATTTCTTTACCCCTAAAGTTATCAGTGTCTGGAGTCAGGACTTCAGTTCCAGCTTTTTCTAATTGGAGATAGAGAATTTCATTAGAACTCTTCCTCAGATCTCAGTAGCTAGGATTTTATTTATTTATTTTTTTGGTCGGTTGTGGGGCTTGAATTCTGGACTTGGACGCTGTCCCTGTACTCTTCAGCTCAAGCCTAGCACTCCACCAGTTTTGAGACATAGCACCACTTCCAGTTTTCTGGTGGTTTATTGGAGATAAGAGTCTCACAGACTTTACTGCCTAGACTGGCTTTTAACCAAGAACCTCAGATCTTAGCCTCCTCAGTAGCTAGGATTACAGGTGTGAGCCACCGATGCCCAGCTTAGTAGCTAGGATTTACTTTGGGTCCGGTTGTGAGGCCTGAACTCTGGGCCTGGGTGCTGTTCCTCAGTTCTTCAGCTCAAGGCTAGCATTCTACCACTTGAGCCACAGTGCCATTTCCGGCTTTTTTTTTTCTTTTTGCTTATGTGATGCTGAGGAATCGAACCCAGGGCCTCATGCATGCAAGGCAAGCACTCTACCACTGAGCCACCTTCCCAGCCCAGTAGCTAGGATTTAAATGAGAGCAGAGACATGACACTCAGCTTCTTTCTTCCCTTCCCTCTCCGTGTGTGTGTGTGTGTGTGTGCAGCTCTTCAGCTCAAGGCTAGCGCTCTACCACTTGAGCCACAGCGCCACTTCCGGCTTTCTTGGGGGTTAATTGGAGATAAGTCTCATGGTCTTTCCTGCTTGGGCTGACTTCAAACCACTGTCTTCAGCTTCAGACCTCCTAGTTTTCTGTTTATCCTTTTGCTTCCCTTTTCATGCTCAATTGATATAAAGATATACTTCCCAACTGGGTGGAAAGTATAGATGGGAGGATGGTAGTCCAGTTGGGTTAGCGTAAAAAAATGAAGCACTATTCAGAATATAATGAAATCCAAAAGAGCTGGACATGTGGCTCAAGTGGTAGAGTGCCTGCCTAGCAAACACAAAGCTGTCAGTTTGAACCCCAGTACCACTGAATAAATAGATAAAATTAACTTACAGAAACAGTGCTTTGATCAGTCCCTTTGTTTGGCAGAATTCTGCAAAATGTATTTCACCCACTACTGAGATTGTTCAGTCCCTGATGTGTTTGTATTGATTTGTTTTTGGTGGTAGCTTGTCCTAAAATGTGTGTAGAAAGCAAGGTATTTTATGATAAAATTGTTGTGTAGTGCATGCTTTGTGTGGAATTCAGAGGGAAACCCAGATTCATTGATTAACAATGCCAAAAATGCAAGTAACCAGCCATTGTTGAAAGGACAGTGGTGCTATTTCTCTTCTGTGGCCTTTTTTTCTTTTTTTCTCTTTCTGTGGCCTTCCATTTTATTGGGAACCCATTTTCTACCTGGTCTTTCCTGACAGGGTTTTTTTCTACTTTAAACAGTTTCTAAATAAAATTCTATATTTTAAGAAAAATAAACAATGCTTTGACAATCATAATTAATGAAAATTAAGATAATTTATTTTAAAGTACAGATCAAAGTTTTACTTTTAGGTATCATAGGGGTTTCTTTCATTTATTACCTCTTATGGACAATGTAGCTATGATTACATTTACTTCTTCAGGTGCAAAAATACAAAAATTTCTACCTACTTTATTCCCAGGAATGATATTGTTGGTTGGTTTTACTGGATAATACTGAGTAGTTTAATAAAATGTACCAGTTTTGTATGTTATCCCTAAGTATACTCATAACATCTGTAGAGAGTACTGATTGTCTCACATATTTCTATGAATACTAATATTTTAAGGGCTGGGAAGGTGGCTCAGTGGTAGAGCGCTTGCCTTGCATGTCTGAGGTCCTGGGTTCGATTCCTCAGCACCACATAAGCAAAAAGAAAAAAGCTGGAAGTGGCCCTGTGGCTCAAGTGGTAGAGCACTAGCCTTGAGCTGAAGAGCTGAGGGACAGCGCCCAGGCCCAGAGTACAAGCCCATGACTGGACCCCCCCCAAAAAATTGTGGATACTAATATTTTAACTCACTTTCTTGACCTATTGTTATTTTAATGCCATTTTGATGTTATTTCCCATTAATTATATTTAATCTTCAAATAAAATAAAATCTCTCTCTTTTTTTTAAGGTATCTTTTTCATCAACTATGGATCAGGAAATTAAAAGCCTTCGAGAGAAACTTAACAAACTCCGGCAACAGAATGCTTGTTTGGTCACACAGAATCATTCTTTAATGACTAAAATAGAATCTGTCCACTTTGAATTAACACAGTCAAAAGCAAAAGTATGTACTTTGTAGTGATGAGTATGCCAACAGAAAATAGTCATCATTAAGATTTATTCTGAAGAAATAGTCTTGTGTTATATATAGAAATTTTATGCAGATATTAAATTGTATATATATGCTAACACTGTCAGTATGTTATGAAATTCCCTTTATATCTGAAAATTGTTTAGGTAGACTTTATAATTTTGCATTTAGATAAATCAGTTTCTTTTTTCTTTTTGGGGGGGGGAGGGTCGTGGGGCTTGAACTCTAGGCTTGGGTGCTGTCCCTCAGTTCTTCAGCTCAAGGCTAGTGCTCTACCACTTGAGCTTCAGCGCCACTTCCAGTTTTCTGGTGGTTTATTGGAGATAAGAGTCTCACGGACTTTCCTGCCTGGGCTGGCATTGAATCATGATCCTCAGATCTCAGCCTCCTGAGTAGCTAGGATTGTAGGTGTGAGCCACCGGCGCCCAGCTGTACTTATTTCTTATTCAAAGAAAGGATAGCTTATTTTTCTACCTTTTTAAGAGAAAATATTTTGATACTTGAAAAGTTAAAAAGCAGAAAAATAGCTTGGCATTGGTGGCTCATGCCTGTAATCCTAGCTCCTTAGGAGGCTGAGATCTGAGAATCATGGTTAGAAGCAAGCCTGGGCAGGAAAGTCTATGAGATTCTTATCTCCAATTAATCATAGAAAAAGCTGGAAGTGTTGCTACAGTTATAGCTTTTCACTGATAATTTTTGATGGAATTATGTTTTATTATGTGACAATACCATAATTTGAGAAATGATTGCTCTATTTAAATGGCTTCCTATGTTTTTACTGTATTAAACAACAGCAGCAGCAACAAAGAACTCGGCATGTCCAGTAATAGAGACCTGGTAAAGTAAATTGTGATATGCCTACAAAGTAGTTGCAATAAAGCCTTTTTCAGAAAAATGATATACATTAGTACCAAAATGCAAAGTAATATGGAAAGATGAAGTCTAAATGATGTGAGATATATAAAGCACTTAGTACTGTGTCTGTACATACTCAGCACAGTTACTTAATTTAGTAGTGTAAAACCTTTACAGAGCAGTACATATGTGCATAATCATTAGTTTTGCTTTTTATAAAAACTTTGTATGTTTGTATGTGAGATTGACATATAAAATACAGAATAGGGCTGGGAAGTTGGCTCAGTGGTAGAGCGCTTGCCTTGCATGCATGAGGCCCTGGGTTCTATTCCTCAGCACCACATAAGCAAAAAGAAAAAAGCCGGAAGTGGCGCTGTGGCTCAAGTGGTAGAATGCTGGCCTTGAGCTGAAGAGCTGAGGGACGACAGCACCCAGGCCCAGAGTTCAGGCCCCACGACCGGACCCCCCCAAAAAAAAAAAAATAAAATAAAATACAGAATAGAAAGACTTCATATTGTTTACTTCAGGAGAGATTGGAAGATTGGAGTGGGGTTTTATTATTTACTTTTACACTCTTGCTTATTTTGTTTCTTGGCAATACTGAACCCAGGACCTTAGCACTTGCTGTGCAGGTGCCCCTACCACTAGAGCCAGGCACCCAGCACCACACTTTGCTTATTGTGTAGATTTTGTGAGTAGGTGTAATAGTACAGGTCTGGGAAAGCTTCATTTTTCTTTTCTGTTTTTAAAATACTAAAGTAGTATTGGGATTATTTTTTTCCGACCAAGGAGAAAAATAGAAACTGGTACAAAACTTCTTGGGTGTTTGGGTTATCTCTTGGATAGATTTCCAGAGGCCAAATGACAAAATGTAAGAAAAGAATGGTTTTCAGGCATTTGTAGCACTGTTTCTTTTCTGATTGGATCCACTCTTCAAAATTCTGCTTTTTCATTCTTTCTGTAATTGGAGTTTTTTAAGTCACTTCCTTGCCTGTTTGAAATATGTTAATTTATTTTCTTCCCAATTCATGATTAAATTCTAGGGTGTAAATTATTTTATGTTAGAATTTATAGAGCATTGGTTTTTACATTTTCCACTGCTGCTTTGCAAAGTTTGATGCTTTTGTGAATTCTTTCCTTAGCATGTAATCATGTGTCTATTTGTTTTTTGCTTTGTAGCTTTTTAGGATTTTTTCCTATTTTTTTGATGTTTTAAAATTTGATATCAATATACCTTTGTTGTTGTTGATTTTTTTTTTTTTTTTGCCAGTCATGGGGCTTGAACTCTAGTCTTAGGCGCTATCCCTGTGCTCTTCAGCTCAAGGCTAGCGCTCTACCACTTGAACCACAGTGCCACTTCCGTTTTTCTAGTGGTTTATTGAGATAAGAGTCTCGTGGACTTTCCTGCCTGGGCTGGCTTTGAACCGTGATCCTCGGATCTCAGCCTCCTGAGTAGCTAGGATTACAGGCATGAGCCACCAGTGGGTGTCCTGCTAACTTTTTTTTAAGTCTGAGACCTGAACTCAAATTTAGTACCTGTCTCTCATTGGCTAGTGCTCTACCAACTGAGCCATGCCTCCAGTCCTTGAAAAGAACTATACTGCATCAAGATGTCATTAACTTAAAAAGAAATAGTAAGAGCCAAAATAAAAGACTCAATAGAAGTGTAAAAAACAATGTTGAAGAAATCTACTGAAATGAAACATAACTTACATTTATCAAGCAAAAATACTGGAAGATGTAGAGGGCAAAACCCAAGCCTTAGTAAGCAGGAAAAAAAATCTAAGAAAACAAAATATAAGGAAGAAAATTCCATCACTGTATGGAATGATACAAGAAAAACTGAGATAAACAGAAGTTTCCAGCTTGAAAGGGTCCTCATATACTCAATACATGTAATAAAGGACTTTTCAAAAACCTAAGATGAACATTTTATAGAGAACTTACCAAACAATTTAAGTTCAAAGCCTGTACTACAAAAACAACAACAGCCAGGCGCCGGTGGCTCACACCTGTAATCCTAGCTACTCAGGAGGCTAAGATCTGAGGATCACGGTTCAAAGCCAGCCCGGGCAGGAAAGTTCGTGAGACTCTTATCTCCAATAAACCACTAGAAAACTGGAAATGGTGCTGTGGCTTAAGTGGTAGAGCGCTCACTGTAAGCTGAAGAGCTGAGAGTCAGGACCCAGGCCCAGAGTTCAAGCCCCATGACCATCAAAAAATAAAAAAAAGAAATTCTGAGGCTAACAGCTTTATATTGACTCTACTGTTTATCACTCTACTTCCTCCCTCCTCATCTTTCTTTCTAGTGCCCTAGAACCCCAGGCTCTCTTGTTCCATGTCTTCAGATAGTAAACTTTCTGCTGCTTTTCTATAGAGAATAGGAATTTATCTTCTTTAATGTTTGGGATTTTACTCCTATCTTTATTGTGCCTCATGCCTACATGTCCTAACCATACTTTTCAGGGATAGTTATTATTGATATTTTGATTATTAATGTTAGAATAGTTCTCTTCCATACCATTTAAGTTATAGATTCCTACTGTGCTGTAATAGTTGTACTTCCTTTATCTTCCAGGATATAGGATTACTATGCCTTTCTTCATTATGTTTTCTCTATTAAGCATGCATTCTAAAATTTGTTTTTAAATAATTAACATCTCAATAAGTACTTTCTTCTTTTTTTTTTGTCAGTCGTGGGCCTTGAAAATAAGTACTTTCTTACATAATTTTATACTCTGATATTTTGTATTTATTACCACATTTATGTGAAATTAATCTTAGATGATGTCAGTTGATATTGTTTTTCCTAAATACCAAATTAGTAATACTAATACTAGTTTGGAGTGATGGAAGGAGCTTACATACTGAGATTGTCTTGTAATAATACATTCATGTAAATATTGATCAATAGCATAGATGGGTGAACGTTACATTTGGATTTCCTTGTCTGATAGGAAAAAGGCTAAAGGCCAACTAGATAATTTTCCTGAAATGAAGTAGTCTTAAAAATTGCTTCCATGAGCCGGGCGCTGGTGGCTCACTCCTGTAATCCTAGCTACGCAGGAGGCTGAGATCTGAGGATCGCGGTTCAAAGCCAGCCCGGGCAGGAGAGACCGTGAGACTCCTATCTCCAATAAACCACCAAAAAACCGGAAGTGGCGCTGTAGCTCAAGTGGTAGAGTGCTCGTCTTGAGCTGAAGAGCTGAGGGACAGCACCCGGGCCCAGAGTTCAAGCCCCACGACAGACAAAAAAAAAAAAAATTGCTTCCATGGGGCTGGGAAGGTGGCTCAGTGGTAGAGCGCTTGCCTTGCATGCTCGAGGCCCTGGGTTCGATTCCTCAGCACCACATAAGCAAAAAGAAAAAAGCCGGAAGTGGCGCTGTAGCTCAAGTGGTAGAGCGCTAGCCTTGAGCTGAAGAGCTGAGGGACAGCGCCCAGGCCCAGAGTTCAGGCCCCACGACCGGACCCAAAAAAAAAAAAAAAAATTGCTTCCATGTTTCAGATTGCTGTGCTTGAGTCTGTTCAACAACAGGCATCCAATGTCCCGATCTTAGAAGAACAGATTATAAACTTGGAAGCTGAAGTTTCGGCTCAAGATAAAGTTTTAAGGTAAACATAGTTTTTGAAATTTTAAATTTATGCTTTTTTACATCTCTTTCTATTTGTTGGTATGGATTGAACTCAAAGCTTCATACCTGCTAAGTCAAGTGTTCTTCCACTAAATTCAGTCCTTTGGATATTCTGTTTTATTAGTACTTATCCTTCACTCCCACTCCAGTAAGATTATTGGCACTTAGTAATGTATTATAGCTTGTTCTAAGCCAATAATAACTTCTCTTGGTTAAAGTTTACACATTACAAATAGGGACTAAAAAAGCTAAATCTAAGCTGGCATGCTTATTTACATCCCTTTATTAAATGTGAATTAGATTGTGGGGATAACCTAGTGAGAGTACTTTCTTTTTTATTTATTTATTTTTTGGGGGGGTCTGGTCGTGGGGCCTGAACTCTGGGCCTGGGCGCTGTCCCTCAGCTCTTCAGCTCAAGGCTAGCGCTCTACCACTTGAGCCACAGATCCACTTCTGGCTTTTTTTTCTTTTTTCTTATGTGGTGCTGGGGAATCGAACCCAGGGCCTCATGCATGCAAGCCAAGTGCTCTACCACTGAGCCATCTTCCCAGCCCGAGAGTATTTTCTTTACATGTGGATTGTAGGCATAATTTAGTGATAGATTGCTTTCAACATGTATGAGGCCTTGAGTTTAAAACAAAAAGTACTGAGGGAAAGGCTAAGTGGTTGAACACTTGCTTATTACCAAGTACAGGGCCTTGATTTTAAACTCTAGTACTGCCAAAATAAAATCATTTTTCATACCATCTAGTAAAATCTTCATATACTACCATATACCCAATACTTCAATGTTTATAAGAAATAAAATACAAGGAATCAGTTATTGTATCAGTGATTCTTTTTTTGCCTTGAATAAAATTGGATTGGTGGTATATACTAAATAGTTTATTAGGTTGTTTGATTCTCAAAGTACAGTATTCCTTTCTTCTTGGAGGGTTACTGGAGTTTTAATCTGAAATTAGCAGTATTAGAAGTGGTGCTGTGGCTCAAGCAGTAGAGCACTCGCCTTGAGCTGAAGAGCACAAGGACAGCGCCCAAGCCCAGAGTTCAAGCCCCACGACAAAAAAAAAAAAAACAACTTATTAATGAAATTAGCAGTATTAGCATTGTTTGGGAACTTTTTAGAAATGCTAACTCAGTTCTTACCTCAGTCTTATGAACCACAAGCTTTGGAAGGCAGTAACCAGAAATCTGTATTGTAATTAAGTTCTGCAGAAGAGCCTAATGGATACCTAAGATATCTTTCAATTCTGTAGGTTGTTTTTGTTTTGCTTTGTTTTGTTTTTTGTTTTTTCTGGTCCCTAGGGCTTGAACTCAGGGCCTGGGCTCTTTCCTGAGCCTCTCTATGCTCAAGACTAGTGCTCAACCGCTTGAGCCACAGCACCACTTCTGTTTTTTCTCTGAGTAGTTTATTGGAAATAAGAGTCTTACAGACTTTCCTTCCCGGGCTGGCTTTGAACTGCGATCCTCGGATTTCAGCCTCCTAGGTTACAGGATTGAGCCACCAGCTCCCAGCAAATCTATCGGCTTTATAGTACATTTTCTTTGTTTTATATTTATATGTGTATTTTATTTAAATTTTATTCTTAGGGATTTTTTTTCTATATTTGGCTATTGCAAATCTCTTCCTGTTCTGTTCATTGCTACAATACAAGAAGGTACTAAAAGTTTTTGTTTGGGGTTGCACTGAAGGCCCTGTGCTTGGTACACATATCCCTTGCCAGTTAAACCATGTCCCAATTCCTTTTTGGTTTCATTTCTTTAATCTTCCTGTTTATGCTTCCCATGTAGTTGGGATGACAGGTTTGTACACTACATATACCACATGAGATGCTTACCCCTATAATCCTACCTACTCAGGAGGCTGAAATCTGAGGATCTAAGGATTGAAGTTTGAAGTTAGCCTAGGCAGGAAAATCTGTGAGACACTTACTCGCAATTAACTACCAAAAAGCCAGCAGTGGAGCTGTGGCACAAGTGGTAAAGTGGTAGCCTTTAGCAAAAATGCTGAGATATCACTCAAACACACACACATACACTCTCTCTCTCTCTCTCTCTCTCTCTCTGTCTTTGTCTCTCTCTGTCTCTCTCTACAGTAGAAGCCAGGTACTTAAGCTGTGGCTCAAACCTGCACTCCTAACTCAAGGCTAACACTCTACCACTTGAGCCACAGCTCTACTTATGATTAATTTGGTAGTTAATTGGAGATGAGATTCTCCTGCCTGGACTATTTTTTTTTTTTTTTTGTCGGTCGTGGTGCTTGAACTCTGGGCCTGGGCGCTGTCCCTCAGCTCTTCAGCTCAAGGCAAGCGCTCTACCACTTGAGCTACAGCGCCACTTCCGGTTTTCTGGTGGTTTATTGGAGATAGGAGTCTCACAGTCTTTCCTGCCCGGGCTGGCTTTGAACCGCGATCCTCAGATCTCAGCCTCCTGAGTAGCTAGGATTACAGGCGTGAGCCACCAGAGCCCGGCTGGACTATTTTTTTTTTTTAACTGCAATCCTCAGATACCAGATACCAGCTTTCTGCAGTCCTCAGATAGCAGCTTTCTGAGTTTCTAGGATTACAGGTGTGAGCCACAGGCACCCAGCTTGAAAATATTATTTTATTCCTTATAAAAATTCTTAGTTGCTAGTTGCAGGTGGCTCACACCTATAATCCTAGCTACTCAGGAGGCTGAGATCTGAGGATCATGGTTCAAAGCCAGCCCGGGCAGAAAAGTCTGTGAAACTCTTATCTCCAATAAACCACCAGGAAAATGGAAGTGGCATTGTAGCTCAAGTGGTAGAGCACTAGCCTTGAGCTGAAGGGCTGAGGGACAGCGCCTAGCCCAGAGTTCAAGCCCCACAGTCAAAAAAAAAAAATTCTTAGTTGAGCTGGGCATTGGTGGTTCACTCCTATAATCCTAGCTACTCTGGAAGCTGATATCTGAGGATTGTGGTTCAAAGCCAATCCAGACAGGAAAGTCCATGAAACTCTTATCTCCAATTAACCACCAGAAAACTGGAAATAGAGCTGTATCTCAAAGTGGTAGAGCACTTGCCTTGAGCTAAAGAGCTCAGGGACAGCACCAAGGCCCTGAGTTCAAGCCCCCTGGCCGACAATTAAAAAAAAATTCTTTTTTTTTTTTGGTCTAGTCGTGGGGCTTGAACTCTGGGCCTGGACGCTGTCCCTCAGCTCTTCAACTCAAGGCTAGTACTCTACCACTTGAGCCACAGCACCACTTCAGCTTTTTTTCATTTTTGCTTATGTGGTGCTGAGGAATCAAACCCAGGGCCTCATGCATGCAAGGCAAGCGCCCTACCACTGAGCCACCTTCCCAGCCCTCAAAAAGATTCTTAATTGAATCCAGGCACCTCTCTCTCTCTCTCTCTCTCTCTCTCTATCTCTAGCTTTTCTTCTTATTTTGCCAGTCATGGGGCTTGAACCCAGGGCCGGGGCACTGTCCCTGAGCTTCTTTTGCTCAAGGCTTGAGCCATGACACCACTCCTGGCTTTTTGTGTTTATGTGGTACTGAGGTATTGAACCCAGGGCTTCACGTATGCTAGGCACTGTACCACTAAGGCACATTCCCAACCCCAGGGACCCCTGTCTCAGGCCTATAATCCTAACTTCTTGGGTCTCTGAGATCAGGAGGATGGAGGTTCAAGGCCAGTCTGGATAGAACAGTCCATAAGACTCCCATTGTAAAGAAGAAATTTTGTATGGTGATGTGTGCTTATCAACTCAGCTACAGTGGGAAGCTCAGCAGAAATTATGACCCTATCTCCAAAATAACTTGTGTAAAAAGGGCTCCTGGCATGGCTTGATGGTAGAATACTGGCCTAGCAAGTATGAGTCACTGAGTTTAACTACCTCATTTATTGCCAAAAATGAGTTAGTTGATACAGTATGAATATGCCTTTTACTCTATGTTATTACATGTGTATTCTTTTAACTCACTGATTTAAAAGTAATAGAATTCCTAATGTTACATTATTCTGGTATATTTATAGTAATTTCTTTAAAATTCCCACTTTTAGAGAAGCAGAAGAAAAATTAGAGCAGAGTCAAAAAATGGTGATTGAAAAGGAAAAAAGCTTGCAGGAGTGCAAAGAGGAATGTATTAAGTTGAAGGTGGATTTACTTGAACAAAGTAAGCAAGGAAAAAGGTATGTGAGATGTTTCTGTTTATTATTTTGTGGTGCTGTGTTCCTGGACCTTAATTGTGCTCGGCAAGTGCTCTACTATGCAATACATCCCCAGTAATTTTAGTACAGAAAATGTTGCTTCTTTAGTTATTCCTTATGAAGCAACATTTATTACTTTTTTGGACTTAACTACTCAATTACTTTTATTCAGTTTGTCTTTTTTTTTTTTTTTTT